CCGGTCTTAGAGCTAAAGGTGACATAATTCTACACCGATCGATTAAAATTATTTCTCGCACTAGCGGTATTCCTTATTTGCACTTGCTTAACCTTATCGCCGATAAACATTTTACCTCTTACGATAACTTGCGATAACAATATTCTGTCAGACATAACTCACTCATTACACACACAACCTAAACAATGCATATCCACTTCTGCAACTAGATGTCGTTATAACGTGATATCTGCTCGCACCACTGTCTACCGTTTGGTCGTCAACCCCGATCTTTCGAGATTTCTGGCTCGAAAGGCATCCGTTAAAGAAACATTTTTGAATTTCCTACGCAATTGACATCCATTTTCAGTTTTACGCCACATTCCTTTGAATTTACGATGCTGTTTTTTTCACTTCTTCTTTGTGACTTTGTGTGATGATAAATGATCCTGGAGTGCAAGAATTTTATAATCCATCCAATGGGATGAATAAAACGATTTTCGACTTTGATTTTGAATATATATGTATTTATTACGAGGTGATTCACTCAGACAGAAACACACTGCTGAGTGGAATTTCCAGCTGCGGTTCAATTGTACTTTTACCCGATGAAACTGTGCCCATTGGCAAAATGGGTGATCACAATTCGGAAGCCCGTCCTTTCATACATAACATTCTGAATGGTTTGTGTGTTTGTGGCGGGGAGAGCCTGCCGCTTTGTGTTCACTTTCCGCTGCTCGTTGACAAGAAAAACAGGTCACAATTGTCAGTCGTTCCAAGATGGATTGAACGGAAGATGACTCAAAACACATTTCGTCTGGCTGAACGCTCTGGGTCTGATTTTTGGGATACATGAGTGGAATTCGAACGCCTTATTCCCGCCAAAGCGAAAAAAAGAGCGGTTCAACTGCGAACAAATGTAAACAGTGTTTTTTATTCAAATCGGATCGATAAAGAGTGAAACAAATGGTCTGAAGAAGAATCCACTGGCTACGGAGTATACTTGAAAAATAATGTTAACTGGTTTGTGTCTGCAAACGCGTCCAGTGCGGTTCAGAAAAACACGTTTTCGCTTCCTGCCTACCTGATGGATGAACATGAAATAGTCAAAGAAATGCGGCATAAGGTATCATAAGTAGGCATTTGCCAACTTGATACCTCTGTGACTCAGCCGCGAAATCCGGCTGTCCGTGAAGGGTCGGATGTATACTGCGGCAGCTCTGCTATACGCGGCAGAAACTTGGCCATTGAGAAAACAGGATATAGATGGAACAAGCGCTGTCTGTGCAGCATTGCACGAATCTGGTGCAGNAACCGGACGAGCGATACCGAGGTTAGGCGCAGAGTTTTAGGCAGCCGCGTTCGTGGTCACCCATTGGAGCAAGTGGTCAAAATAGGACCTGGCACGAGGGTATGAAAACCCTAACCAGGAGACTCGGTCATATAGAACGCATTAGGCTTCCTGGATCGGCACCTTGATATCAGAGGTAACCTGTGGTTAGAAACACTGAGTAATATGGCTGCGTGTCGTAAACAGTGGCATTCGTGCATCGTTTAAATTTCTTCACAACCTTAGTGTACTGAAATTCTCCATTTTCTCTTCGACTCTTCGACTCTACGATCTACTCCGACTGCTTCATCCAAATGGGCGACCAAAAGACAGCAGCCAATACCGGCACAGGAAAATGTACGCATGGTTCATGGCTGCACAAACTGAAAGTGAAACTGAAACTATGCTAGGAATCCTCCTCACAATGTCTGATAGTAGCAAAGCATAAATGATATGTCTACATGAAAGTTCACAAACCATTCTTTTTTAGCGTTTGGGTTGAAAAACTTAGCTTCTCCCTTTTCCACGCTCTTCCTCCCATAATAAATTTATACATGTTGTTATTATTATGTATTATGTATTGTGCATAACTTTTGTAAGCACTGGAGCTCACATTTCAGTTAAAAAATCACACACACACACACACACTAATCGTTACAAAGTACATAATAAAGTGTGAGAAGATGTTATACGGACATGGGGACATTTCATAATCCAAGGTCACTGAATTACACACATGCAACATAGCGTCATTCACTCCCTACACATTTGTCGATTCGCTTTCTGAGATTCATGTAAACCTTCCTGGGATATTTTCTTTCAGTTAGTTTAAGGAATGCGGCTAGGGACTTGAGTCGGTTCCATGAGAAAAAAGTCTAACGCGGACAAATATAGAAATCTCAGCGGCCAGGGCACAGGTCCAGCTCTGTCGAGCCATTTTTGGGGAAATGCTGTGTCGGTGGCGTTGGTGGCTTGGTGGTAACCTCACCAGACTATCACCCCAGAGGACGAGTGTTCGAATCCCACCCCTACCAAAGCCTGACTTTCCCCATTTGTGTTTTGAATGGCAGCCCTTGGATTGGCCGCTTCCCTCTTCCTGAAAATTGTATCATTGTGTATTTAATAAAAAGGAAGTAAAAATGAAAAAGAAAAAAGAAAGAAACTATCATTGGCGCTGCTTCTTGAGCCCAATCAGTCAACACAAAACGACTGACTTTCCCCACCACAAACGTACTAAAACGATTCAAGACGGTGTTTATGCAACACTTACCAAGCGCACCAATAATAGCTTATCCGGAGTGCTTGTATCTCACTAAACCTTTTTGGTTCATTGCGTTTGATTTGTTTTGCCGTGCAGGTTTATATATTTAACTCGAACCCGCGAAGAATCTGTCTATCACTGGCTGCTCGCCTCCCCTTGTCCCGATCGCCCCGCCTCGCTACCGTCGCTCCCAGCTGTCTTTCGACGGCCTCGAAGCCTCGTATCATCTCTGACTGGGAGAATACGAGCAGAAGGACATGCTGTTGTGCATCTCTGTTCACTCCGCTACGAGGTGACAGCCCAGAGTGGGCTCGTATTACATGTGGAGGGGGGTTTGTAAATTTTGATCATCCACTTTTACACAGTTCACACTGTTTCGTCGGATAGAAAGGCAACTGAAACGCAACTGAAAATTCTACCCAGCAGTGTGTTTTGGTCTTAATGACTCACCGGTGACCCATAAGACGCAGTAATAAAACATTGATTCGGGAGAACTTGTTCGGGGATTTCGTGATCTGTCCAATCGATAGTTACAAACCCCTCCCCCCCCCCCCCCGCCC